CGAAGAAGAATAGGACGACGAAATAAACGATGTAAGACGCGAGAATAGGAACGAGAGAGAAGGAGAATTGTAAAAGAAAAAAGTGTGAGTGTCGAATATGTGCGACCAATCGAAATAGTTCGATGCTGCATTGTCATTCGTCGCCTTAACCGAAATAGCACTGAAAAAGGAAGGGAGATAGAGAGGGCGAGAAAGAAGACGAGCAAGCGAAGAAAAAAAAAGTAGAAAAAAAGTTGTCGTGCGTGCATGTATGTTTGTGACTGTCACATTGGTTCGTCGCACACACAGATACATTGAAGAATGAAGGTAGTAAGAGAAATGATAGCTGATCGAACATTCGTATTTACAATCTAACAAATGATTTTGCTTTTCAATTTCGTTTAGACTGTATTAAAGTGTAACATTGCTGATTGTCAATGTGAACAGTTCTTTCCGGGGAATAGTTGTAACCTATCAGTACGTTCGTGTGACGAATGTAAACATAGTTTTGTCAACCATGGTAAGTTTGTTCAAATCAGAAGATCTCCTAACCTGAGATTTGTCTCTGTTTTCCTCATCTAGTTGTCAATCTGAACGAATTGGATACTGATGATGTTATTAAACATTTAACTGCTGAACATATCTATGAATTATGCACACTTTGTTTATATGGTACAACGGTTATTTCTCCACGCATAAAAATTTTACTTGACCATATATTAGATACATTAACTCAAGCCGAACGAGATAATATTTTAAAATCATTAAAATGGTCTATTGACGACTATGAAAAATCCTATAGAGAACATGTATGTATGATTTGAATTATTGATCAATGAAAATTTTCTACTTTTCTATCTGTGTCCAGACACGTTGTACCAGAATGAACACCAGCTTTTTTTTGTTTCTATATTGACCGAAAGAAATCAATCTTCACTCTCCTTCGCTCTTATGCTTTGACTAATGTGAACTCAATTACGAAGAGATGAAATATGATCCTTAGTTTTTTTTCTTCTTTGTCCATTGACGAACAATCTCGCGATCGAGAGAATTATTTGTCAATGAACCGGATAATTTCTTCTTCTTCTTCTCTGGACCTTCGATATGTACCATATCAATCGACATTCACCCTTGAACTTGTGACCATTTCAAGTAGTACTTCTAGACGTTAGAACAAAAAAAAATCTCATCAGAATGATGGTTTAGAGTCGTCGTTCCATTTTTTTTTCTCTGGGATTTGTCATTTTTGAAATTGCATCGTCTTTTTATGATAGAAACCAGAATACGATAAGTGTAATCATGAAGGATACCCGACATCGAATGTCATGCAATCGATTGATCTTTGTACGCACCGTATTTATTATATACTTGTCGATGAGCTGTTCTATTTGACTACCGACACCTTCAATAGAACAACGTAAGGTTTGATCACAAATGTGTCAAGTGTCGACTATGTAACTTCAATATTTTCTTCTCTCGATGAAAATTATCAATTCAATGTTAATTATCGTTGTTATTTCTTCTTCTTTCTATCTAGAGTTTCAATAATTCTTCATCAAATTTCAATTTAATAATGCCATCGTCCGATGAAGAAGATCAATATTTATTACCCCAATTTCTCCGCTTTGAATCAACTCGTTTACTTGCCCAATACTTTCTCCAAGTAGCCCAACAACAACAACAACGTAGCTCTCCGCACTGTCCATCATCGAATGGTCGTTCACCATCACCTTCAGCAACAGAATCAAAACCAATGCGTGTTCCATCAGCAGCTCTTTCAGCTGCTCCTTCGTTGCTACCTCTGCCACCACCAACAATATCATCGGCTACACCAGCAAATCTTTTACTTCGTCCACCTGGACCATTTCCATTTCCATCACCATGGCCTTCAACAGATTTACAAATGATGAATCTTCTAATGGCACAACTATCGAATCCTCTAATGATGAATTATGACTTTCGTCGCATCGGAAATAATCTTTTACCAACAGCAGCTGCTGCCGCTGCCGCCGCCGCTGCTGCTGCAGCTGCATCGAGTCTTCCCTCACTTTCAGTTCCATCAGCAAACGAAGAAATCAACGGTAAACATTACGATTTACCTGAAATAAACAATAATGTAATTGAAAGAAAAAGTTCCAACAAACGTAAACGCCTTTGTTCTCCGTTGAATCTCTCAACAACATCGCGTTCACCATCAGAATTACCAGCATCAACCGAATCAATTGCACGAATATCCGATAGTTCTTTGTCATCAACAAGTAGTTTAACAAATAATAACAACAATATTAACAACAACAACAATTCAAATCATTCATCGACAACAACTCCAGCAGCACGTAAGCGTCTTTCATTAAGTGAACAACGTATTTTGATCAGTCCACATGGGAAAAAACGTGTTCAATGTAATGTTTGTATGAAAACATTCTGTGACAAAGGTGCGCTCAAAATCCATTTCTCGGCTGTACATCTACGTGAAATGCATCGTTGCACCACGCCTGGCTGTACAATGATGTTCTCCTCACGTCGTTCACGAAATCGCCATTCAGCTAATCCAAATCCGAAATTACATTTACCAAGACCAAATGCAATGTCTCATCGTTATCATACAACTGGTCCAATTATATCTGATGGTAAACATCAATCACAAGTTAATTTATATCTAGATGATGAAGATGATAATATTTCATCGAACATGTCTTCATCGATCGACGATCAACCAGAAGACGAAAGAGTAGACGAAGAACTTGTATCATAGACTCTTACAAAAGAAAAAACTAGAAGAAATGAAACTCAAAATTTAAATCAAACTATTTCTTTCCATTTACATTTCCAAGTTCTCTTTTTTTTTCCTTTTTTCGCGCTTGTATTGTTGTCTTTTCTCTTTCTCTCGTTTTTGTCTTCTCTCTTTACTTATAAATATATATACATTGAAAAATTTGCAATCTGCACTCTTCTAATTTTTCCCATACTATCAATGAGGATAGTTGACAAGAATAAACGATGGATATGTACGTCAAGTTTTATTTGTATACATAGAAGAGAGATTAATTGAAGTATGTTTGTCAACGCTTACGGGGGTAAGACAACCTGACGTTTGTATTCCCATCGCATTGACCCTTGTCCAATCCTAATGACTTGTTTTCTTGTGCCATCTTTTGTGTTATCTACCGATTGTTCATCAAACAAATGAGCAAACATATGCGTTGTCTATTCTAATGACAATCACTGTTGACCTTAAAAATTGATTGGTTAGAATTGTATTCCTTTTCTGTTTCGTCACTCTCGATGAAAATCGATCTCTGTTGGTATCATTGTGCCGTGTGATTTTTAATGAATTGATTGACTCGCGCGTGTGTGCATAGGCGATCGAGTGACGTCGGTCGTTTTATGGTTGTGTCGATGAGTTGTACACCTCTTTTTTTCTCGTTATTAGTTATGGCAAGGATGCGAAACAACTGAATGAAACATGTGTCGTGATTTGTTTCGAATACCTCACATATAAACTATTCATTCTCACCATCAATCTATTATATAATAGTGAAAAATGAACCGATCAGTATAATATTATCTTTGGGTTAAGAATTTCAAAGTGCACATCTTTTCAAATGTCAAGAATCAATCGCTCCGTTTTCTTTTGAAATGAAATTGCTAATTGAGACAAGAGAAAAAACAATTTCTTAGCAAGTCAACGCACCAAATATGCGTACTTATAAAATCTTTCTTTCTTTTTTCCACCACATGGTCCTTTGCTTGGAAAAACTTTGACAGTAATGTCTATGTCCATACAAAGAAGAAAACGAATTGATGTATATTACTATCGATTTTCCATCTGCGGTATTTATTAGCCATCAATGCGAAATCTCTTATTTGAGAAGGAAACCTATGATTGAAAATGTTTTGCTGAGGTTTTTTTTTTATTTAAAAAGATTCTTATTAATAAGAAGAGAGAACTTTTCATCGGAGATTTATTCGAAGAAGTTAAGTTCATCTGGAACTGTAATCTCATCGAATTTTGAACGTTTGTAATATCGACTCAAAATGGAATTGAAACCATATGGATCGTATTCTTCCCGACGTATCATCCTCGATTTGACAACATTTACCAAAGAGTCAATCTCTAAAGAGGATGGCGATGCATTTGAAAAAGCATTGTTAAATGTCATTGCGAAAAGGACGACAAGAGCAAGCACATACACTAAAAATATCAAGAGTAGATTTCAAAGAAAAACATTCTCATTCGATTATACTTAGTCCCATTGTTAAGTTCTTTCGATAGTATATCTTAAAATTTATCTGTTGCAAATTCTTCACAAACACACTGTACTTATATGTTCTAGCTTGCTAGCAGAGACCGTGGTAGCAAAACAATTTTCTTCAAGTAGTACTTCGATGAATACTATCAAAAGTGAACTAATTAGTAGAAAGAAGAAACAATTTTATAAAGTAGCTCTACTTGATCGTGACGAAAAGGAAATATCTATTCATTCAGTATCGATGCACTGAAGGTACTCTAGGTAATTATGTATCTCAAATCCTTTTTTGATATATAGTTGTAATGATAATAATAAAAGCAAATTCGATCATTGGATCAAATTTACCTGATCTTGAGCGTCCGATGTTTCGAGATGTGACCATAGTGATTATTTTTGATAGAAAAACATTTGGTAAATGATGAGGCATCCTATCGAATCCAACATTTCGTTTTATAGAAATGAGTATTTTCTTCACGAGATGTTGCGGAGAGAATGCACTCGAGTTCACTTCGTTTCAGCGAGAGAATATCATGAATTTCTCACCCTCAAGTACTCTCTTCTATGTCATAACCTTTGTTTGAGTACAGATTTACTCAGATTTAAGAAAATCTCTATGTAACGTATATGATTTCGTAGATTGTTATACAGTGTCATCTGTCGCTTTTATTCCTACATTGTTTGTTTCTCTTCTCCAATAAAATACACTCGTAAAGTAACGAACGGAAAGTCGATTTTCATTGTAATACAGTTTAGTTCACAAATTTATTAATGGCATCTAAACGACCAGAACATCAAGGTCCACCGGACATTGTATGACGAAGTTGAATAATTAGAAAGAAATGTATCGTGTTTATTTTGAAATTTTTAGTTTTACAATGAAGAAGAAGCCCGAAAATATTCGCAAAAGTAGATTGCAGTCGATTCTAAATTCGAAACAAACAACATTTTTCGTTTTAGTACACATATTATCGATGTACAAACGAAATTATCTGAACGTGCTATTGAGTTACTCAATTTACCCGACGAAGAATCTTGTTTAGTACTCGATATTGGGCACGAATACCTAATTATTTGTTGATCTCTATTAAATATCCTCTTCTTTAGCTGTGGTTCTGGTTTAAGTGGAGAAGTACTAACTGAACTGGGCCATCAATGGTTTGGATTAGATATATCTACTGCAATGTTAGGTTAGTATTTCATTCACATGAGTAATTTAGACGGTTTCGTTCTTTTTTACTTTTCCTATGTAGATGTAGCACAAGAACGAGAAGTTGAAGGTGAACTCGTCCTAGGCGATATTGGTTATGGTATGCCATTCCGTGCAGGATCGTTCGATGGTGCGATAAGGTATGGAACAGTCAAATGAGTTCAAAAGGTAGAAATACGAAATGTTCGTTATTTTAGTATCTCAGCATTACAATGGTTATGTCAAGCTGATAAAAGTTGTCACAATCCCGTGAAAAGATTGTATAAATTCTTTTCAACACTCTACAGTTGTTTAGTAATTACAAGTCAAACTTCTATTTTGAGTATTGTTTCATGATTTTTCTTCAGGCTCGTGGAGCACGTGCGGTACTTCAGTTCTATCCGGAAACACCTACCCATGTAAGGTCTATTTTCCGTATTTTACTAAGACGTTCATACTTCTGTTTGTTAGGTTGATATGATCACACAACAAGCAATGAAAGCTGGCTTTACTGGTGGTCTCGTTGTTGACTATCCCAATAGTACTCGAGCGAAAAAGTATTTCATAAACGATAATGAATGTCTTATTATATTTAATTTCGTCTAAAGGATGTTTTTGTGTTTGTTTGCTGGTGGTCAAATTCAACAACTACCGAAAGGACTTACTGGAGAAGAAGGTACCGAGGATGTTCCAACACAAGCACGTTTCGATAGAGAACGGTAACGTAGAACAGAAATTTTTATGAAAATCGAGAATCGAAGAGTTTCCTAGACAACGATACAAAGATCTTCGCGGTAAATCATTGAAGAAGAGTCGAACGTGGATTTTGGAGAAAAAAGATCGTTGGAGAAACAAAGGAAGGTAGGATCATGAATGATTGAAAAAGAAATAAGAGGATTAATGACAAATTTTCCTATTTACATTCTAGAGAAGTACGACCAGATTCAAAGTATACGGCCCGCCGACGACCAAAACCGTTTTGAATCTTTTTTCATGCTATCAATGTTTTTTGTTTCGACAAAAAAGAAGAAAATAATATGATTCATTTACATTTCAGTAAATGAAATCATAAACAGTGCTTATCTTTTTGATTAATTAGAAACGATTGACAGTGATACATTAGGAAACCTTGTACACATGAAAGAAACTAATCGGCAGAAGAATTCTGAAAGATGGATGCATGGAAATGGACCTGATGGACAAAAACAACATATATGGATTAGGTTTTCTTATCCGATTCGTGACATTATCGACCGGAAAATACTCTTGCAGTTGTAATCAACGAGGAGACGGTCGAATAAAAACTGAGTTTTCTGTAAGAGAAAGCTTCAATATACCATAGCGATCATCGACAATGAACCATCGAAAGTAGATAAACAGCAATCGCTTTGCTGACAAATCATACATGTTTCCCCCTATCAAATTACAGTCACAATCTACCTGTTCCTTGTCGTTAATTCGTATACTATTTCATCAGGAGTTTAAATAAACGGTTTGACATGATCATTCCTCTGTAATGCTATGTAATTTAGCGTAATCCGAAATCGTTTTGTTCAAACAAGATCAAAGTAACCCTTTTCAAAGTAGCAATTATGGTCGCGTCTTTTAAGATTCTAATATTTAACGAGCTGCGAATATATTATTCTTCGCACGGAATCGAGGCACCGTTTCTATTCATTTTTCACTAATGATGGGCATCTACTCTCTCCCACTGACTTTCACAATTCCGCATGACTTCAGAATCTTAATATCACGTCATGTCGTGATAATACCCGAGTTTCAAATGCTCAACACACATTGTTTATTAAGATTTACAGAGCAGATAATCACCTATCTAGGAGAATATCGTCATCTTTCTGTCTATAGATATCTTCACAAACATTGAAATTTTCAGAAATGTGGAAAAATTTTTGTAAGCCGTTTCTTTAATATCGAATAGATATTGTTGAACTTTTGACAACATTTACGACTTATTATACATCGCAGATTTCCTACATTATCAAAGCGATTGTTATTCAGCTAGCAGAGAAACATTCCGGAGATGCAAGAAACCTACAATCATATATAAAAAAACACTTCTGATCTTGACATAACAGAGTTTATTTAATGTGCACTAGCAGCTTCAAATGAATTCTCGTTGAGGGCTCGATTTCTTCTATCCTTTTACTTATCGTTAGATAGTCTAGAGAGATGAAAATACAAATAGAATATAATTCATAGTATTTATTGACTTGATGCTGTTTTGTCAATTGACAAATTTAAGTAACTTTTAAAAGAGTTGTCTGACGTAAACAAACGACACTTCTGGCTTGTTTTTCTACTTGTTTCTTCTTCGTAGATCTACAGAAAGATTCTTGTTTAATTACATAAGGAACAGAATTTTTTCTTGTTAAGAAAACACAATTATACATAAGTTTAAGTTAATAGGAAGTGTTTTCTTATCGGAAAAAGACGAGTATTTACATTTTAGTCGTTTCTACTAATAGAATTACTCTTGGAAAGTACAAGTAACTCATATAGTCATTTCTGCATCTTCGACAATCTCGTCTATCATTGCTATGTTAATTCAAAGAATGCTCTTCAGCCTAATCGTGTGTATTAGTGTAGAGAAACCAGTTCGATATATTAATACATGAGCGTAGTCCAGTTTAAGAACACCCTCATCTATTTTTTTATATGATTCTTCGACATGCTAAGCATGATACATCACTGTGAACCCCCGGAGATCATTCCCATTACCTAACCATCATGTGATATTTTCAACATCTATGCTATTTCGAGAAAATACTTAAAGAAGGTTAAGAAGTACTGCAAGTGTGTATTGATAGTTAAGCGCAAATCATCTATGTACGGTTTTTTCAAATTTATCTAGTAAAGATTTATTGATTTGTACCCTAGACGATAAATTAGATTTTGATTTACCTCTCTGACGTAGACAGTTTCTGTTTAGAGCATCTCAATTACATTTCTCATATTTATTCTGTATTATCCATCGATAATATTATTATCTTTTCTCTCTGACAGTCTTTCTAATGTAATTAGATTTTTTTTTTCTTTTGTCAATAACAAAATATTTAATCAATTTATATATAGCTGAGAAAGCACAGCGACCAGATCATATCTAGTCGATGTAGTTATTTTTAACCGGCATGCTCATAGAAATAATTTGATCAACAATGAACTGAACGAGAAAAACTAGTCATTTGTATTCTATTTTAGACTAACAGCAAGACTATCGCACAGATACCAGACGAAACCAGGCTAGAAACACGATTGTAACTAGTTTACTGACTTTACAGAAGGGAATTTTTCTTTTAGATTGACATGTTTTATCACTTTTTTTACCGTTTCATTTTCATTCTTATTCTTCTCGAACTGTTCTGTTACACCTCATATGTAACATCATCAGATCCCAGTCCAAATGACGAAGAATTAGCATTACTACTCAACGAACGTCACGATCCATCGAATAGCAAAGAAGCCAATGAATCGGATTCTAGTATTGAAAAATCCATGGCTAACGAACACAACGAAGCTTATTATCTACGAATACTATGCGCTTTGTACGGTAGCTGTAGTGCTGCTGCATCTGCCGCCGATGATATTGAAAATCACAAACCAATCGAGGAATATGATGAAAAGAAGCACAAGCGTTTACTTTCTCGATTATTTCATGGTTATCCCAAATTTGGCAAACGGGCATTTACATCGGCATTTGCTGGAATACCGAAATTTGGTTAGACCTTGTGACTGTTTCTTCATTGAATATAAAAATAAAACGATTGCTTATACATGTACACCTAACCGATCGTTGAAATTGTGTTGTTGAGATTATCTTTTCGAATGAAACTAAACCTCATAAAATAAACAAAGTACTCGATAATCATTGAACAATGATTTTTGCGTGTATTTTGTTGTTATACAAAAAATAGAAGAAGACAAAGCGAAGAAAAGAAAGAAAAAGAAGAAAACAAGCCAAAAGCTGTACAGAAGAAGTAGAAGAAGAAAAAGAAAAATGCATATCTGACATGAGACTCTTAAACAAACACGAAAAACCAATGAATAGAAGAGAAAAAGAAAACGTATTTGTAAATAATTCTTATTTCTGTCATACACCAAAATTTGTTTGTCCAATCCATGAATTATCATTGGGTGGAAACAGCGATTGACTTTCGTGTTTTACTTTAGTGAAGAGTGCAGCAGCATGACCTTGATAATAATGTGATTGATGTTGTTGTTGTTGCTGATGATGATGGTGCGGATGTTGTTGTTGATGATGATGATAATCAAATTGTGAGGTAAGTTGTTTAATAGGTGGCGATGGAGCATAGTAATTGTTATAAAGATGATGATGAGGATTCGATGTTTCATATGAAAATAATAAGTTATCAGGTGTACAACCGTTTGTATAGTTTGCTGAAGATATTGGCATTGTTTGTGATAATTGAGGTGGTGGTGATAAATCTAGATTGGATGCTTGATGGTGTTCAGATGAACATGCGGCTGCTTCGGACATAGTTGGCGACGTTCGTCCTACAAAGAAGATTCCAAAAAGAAGATGAAATTGACAGAGAAATTTGTGTTGACATACGGCTGTTCTTATTCAAAAGTGTAACATCGATGGTTTTGGGTGATTTATCTTTTTTTGATTTACGTTTACGTGTTTGTATACCATCTTTCTTTAATGTCAATGGTCGGTTAACCTATGTAAAATCAAATATGAGTCTGAGTGTGATGTATGAAAAAAGAAAGGCATTACCCCGTGTAATTTATAATAAAGACCACAAGCATTACAAACACTTTCTCCGCTGGCATTTCGTCTCCATAAAGTTGTGTCCGTTGTACAACAATTCGCGCACTGATTACCTGAACGATGGAGAACTCCCTACGAAAAAAGAAACAGAATAAAAGTTTTTCTCTTCTCAGTTTTCTTTTGTGATATATACGTACACTTTTTCGAATATTTCGATCGTTGGGATTAGTAGAAGTCGAATAAATCGCTGAATTCGAAGACATTTTAGGCGTACGAGATGAATAGATGCCACATTTGTTACAAAGATTAAAACCGCTACCGTCTTTACTCCAACGCGTATTTTGTGGTGACGCAGCTGCACCACAATTGACACATTCACGTGGTTCATCGAATGGATAACAATAAGCTACGAAAGATAAAAAGAAAGCTCAGCCTGATTTTTCTATTCAGAATCTTTTCTTACGATTGTATGAATTCGCTGGATCATTTAATTTATTGGTAGCTGCTTGTGCTAGTAAGAGTGAGTTCATTTTTGTCGAATAACAATTCATATAGAGATCATCAGCGTAGCGTGAAACAGCCATGGCTGCTACTGAATATGGTTCCGGAGAAAACAAATCTGGGTTGGCCAGTGGATGTGAGCCATTGCTTGTATTAACTGGGATTGCTATAGATGATGACGATGTCGATGGAATTGGCCAAACAGGTGATGAATGATTGCTTTCAATTGTCGATCCATCTTGACCATTATTTGCACCGCTAGTACTATTATTGTTGCTGGCGTTGTTATTAGTCGTATTATTCGTTGTTGTACTTAAAGAAAATGTCGAAGATGAACCATCTTCTGTATGGTTGTTATATATTTGTGGATGCATGTTTAAATCTAGAATGAAAATTTTCTTTTGGTCAGGACATTCATTCACTCGTTCATTCTTTCCAATCATTCATTCCACTTTCATCGTATCACAATTGTATCAGATGAATAGCCTTGAGGGGTTCAAAATATGATTGCAACAGACTGGTATTACTACTGGTGACTGATAAGAAGGGAGGTCATTCAATATGAATTGGCACATGGCCGAATGTCAGTATTCGAACNTCATTTCTTATCACCCATCAAACTTATTCAATATGGACACTTTAGTATTCCACCTTATGTATCCGTCGGTAATCGAACACCCCCTACTGTCCATCATCATCATAATCATGATGGTGAACAACAACAGCTTCGATTACTCATCATGCCATCTTAATATTAGGTCATTTAGGACGAAAGGCACTGTTCCAGTTCAACTACCATCTTATATAGATGTGTTGAAATAGAAGAACTGATGCCAGAAGACACACGACTTGACTTTGTTGGACAGTTTATATTGGAAAGTATCTATATATCAACACATAGAGATAGTTTTACTTGCTGCTGTCGTCATCGTCCGAAAACAGAATCTGATTGATTATGACAATGAGAATGAATGATGTTCGAACGAAGATGAATGATAATCATTGAACAATAGGTGTGAAAAGAAAGTGAAAACAGCATGAGCCGATGGACGTGATGGAAAGAAGATTTTTTTAAATCGAACCTCAATATGGAGTGACGGTAATTATTAAATAATATACGCTTTCATTTCAAGAAAAGTTCGAATGAACTAAGAGATCTTATACAGCGAAACTTTCTCACTTATGTAAAATTTCATGATTAGTATAACTCTTTATTAATTACCAATTAGAATATTTATATCGCTTGAGCAAATATACAATAATTGATCAATGATTACTTGAGCAACAATAGCGTATGGTATGGCTTTTCTTTGAATGTTCTTTAATACTAGCAAACCCTGTAGAATCGAATCTTTTCATCTTGATTTAAATCGACCAGGAGGTTTTTTAACATATGATCGTTAGAACAATTCAAGTAGAGAAAATATTTTGTGCTCTTTCCGTATTTAGCGAACAATGTATAGGAGTGACATCTAAGTAGCACTAAATCTGATAATGAAGTTTTCACGTACGTTCAACAAAATCAACATGTTTTTCTCATCCATAGTGTTCCACATTTGTGAACCTAGAAGGAAAAATTAGACTAAACTTAAACGCATAATCTGTATGCTGTTTGTAAAGCATTTCCAAATATATCCCATAGTAAAGTATTGACGAAAATGACAATGCTTTCACATATCTAAACATTTAGTTTTAAACACACATATTATCCAACGAACAAGTATAAATTATTTTTTTTTGAACAAAAAGAAGAAAGAACGAAAGAAGAAAAAAAAACAGAATCATTAACGCATCACAAAGAGCTCACTTTTTCACATGCCCTATTACGTAGGATTTGTTTTCTTTTTTACATACAAGAAATAAAGATACATATTCAGAAACAAAGGAGCAACAAATGACAACTATCTGATCTTATCACGGTTGGCAGTCAGTTGTAGTGGTCGTTGATGGAATTGTTGATGCTATGGTGGAATGATGTTCATCACCATTGGTTACATTGTTTGTTATTGATGAACCTGTCGATGAAAGTGGTGATGCGACTAATTCTCTCGCACAAAGTTCAGCATCGAAAACTACAGGTGTCATATCGGATTGTTGTTGCTGTTGTGCTTGTTGATGATGGTATTGGACAACATTCGGTTGTTGAGATGAAAAACGGTGATGTTGATCAAGTGCTGCTGAGTATGGATGGTGTCTATGTTGATTCAAATGAGACTGAAGATGTGAAGGAAATAAATCATTTCGAATTGAATTATATTCATGATGATAATTTCCTTGTCTTCCAAGATCTATTAACAAAACGAAAAATTCGCTTTTCTCTATTGCGTCTTGAGTCATATGCTTACGTGCGGCAGTTAAATTGTAATCGAGCGATGGTTCTGATGCGCATGCTGCTGGTTCCTTACCCGATGTTGATGTAATACCATGTTTATTACTTTTCGATTTCGAATTGGAACTACCACTAGAACCATTTCCACTGCAACTCTTCTGCTTTCGACGGCGTGTTTGGATACCTGGCTTGACCATATTTAATGGACGAGCAATCTAATTATGAAAAAAAAGAATCGTATGATGAATCTAGTATTATAATGACGGATAGTTCTTACTTGATGAAGTTTATAATACAAACCACAAGCATTGCAAACAGGTTCGCCCTCGCTATTTCGTCGCCATAAAGTTGTATTCTGTGTTTGACAGTTGGCACATTGTAAACCAGAACGACGTGCTCCTGGTAAAACCTAGGAAAATACATAGTTGTTCGAATTTTTTTCAATCAAATGCAGTGAAACATACTTGTTTGTGAGCAGAATTAAGTAAAACATTGTTAACCGACGAAGCTGTGTCGTCCTGTATAACAAGAACAAAGAAATGTTATGAATAGACAAGTCAAAAAATCCGTACCGTTTGTGTTCGATGAAATGATGGCAATTGAGACTGAGAATTTGCTGTATCATTTCCATTGTTCGTAGCCGGTTTCATCGATGGATATGGTGCGTAATGTGAATCAGAATTCGAAAGTGCCATTGATGACAATGCTTTCGATGAATTATTTCGACGTGATGTTTGTGATGTTGTTTGATGATACATTTGACTTGAATGAATCGGATGATGATGATAAGAATACGGATTTGTTAATGAAGATACATTGGGTAAACAACCTGGATCAATAACCGGAAGACCCGTTTCGATAGCTGATGCTCGAGAACGATCTTCATCATCCTACGTAGAAAGAGAAAAGAAGAATCAGCTTGTCTAGAGAATCATGAAATACTATATACCAAGCGTCGAGGTAGTCGTTGTACTGGTCGATTAGAACCATTAATTTTATGACTTAAACCACACGCATTGCACAAATAATGCCCCGTACCATCTCGACGCCATGATGGCGTGGATATTGCACCACAATTGACGCATTCTCGCCCGTCAATCGGTTCATAATAGTCCTCTAAAGTGAAATATGCCGAGTTCTTCCATTTATTTCCTTATG